TGTCCTACAGGGTCACTGTGAGTCGGCATTGACTGATGGCAATGAGTTTGTTTTTTCGGTCTGGTGTATAAAGAAAGGAGGCCTGGATGCATAGTGGGTTATACGTTGAGCAGCTATAAACAGTTCAAACCCACCAGCTGAAACTTGTAAGAGTTACAGCTTCGAAAGCTGTGGGTTTTCCACCGGCTAAGTTCTCCTCTCTCCTGGAGGGTCGTTAGGCGTCAGGGTCTTGATGGCAGTGAGTTTGGCTTTGAGTGTATAAACGAAGGACTCAGCAGGTGTATGGAGGGCGAAACCTGCTCTGGTGAAACCGTCCTGGTGTGTTTATTCAGTGTGCCCCAGTAGGAGATTTCACATCTTCCAGGGAGGAGGTTATGGCTTCCAATAGCATGTTAGTTAGCTTGGTGGTTGCTAAGGTGCGTCTGTTTTGTTCACTATTGTGTTTCCAGTAAATGGGATAGTGCCCAGCATCTAGCCAGATAAGACAAATATTTGTTGAATCGATAGATGGATGAAACAATGAGTAAATGTAGTTACGGAAGTAATGATGGTTTACTAGTAGCACTCGATGGGACTTTTTGTGTCCCTTTAAAAATTCTTTTTCTCTTTGTTTTTCTTCTTTTAGGCAGAAGCCACTAATACTAGCCTGTTGCAGGTACAACTGGAATGTAGTTTACATAATAAAGTATGCCAGCAACTAAAGGTAAAATATGTCTAATGTTCTCTCTGCTCTTTGGCTGCCGTTTCATGTAGTAGTAGTAGTAAGAGTAACAATAATGGAACGTTCTGTTTTCAGAAATACATATGTCCTTTCTTGCCTTGTTTATGTACCTTTTCTCTTGCTAAAAATTAAAGCCACAAAGTTCAGATGCTCATTTGGGGAGTCGGAGGTGTTGAGGCAGAATTTTCCTTGTTTTTTCCTCCTCCCAATCTCAGAGTTGTTACCTGGAGTCGGATGGTGTTTTGCGGCTGCAGATGAGCATGATTGTAACCATGGACAGTTCCTCAAAAGGCTTGGAAGAGAACACACAGGGTTTGTTAGACCATCTCTCTATTGTTTGTGTAGCAACTGATCTACCTGAGACCTCAGGTAAGAAACACCTGACATTTCCCTGAGAATAGATTTCTACTAACTGGCACCATCATTTTATAGCATTTGCTAGTAGGAAATACCATAGCAAATAAGGCAGAGAAGTTGCTTTGATTATTAAGAGACCATTCGAGTAGCTGTTTCTCAATATGCAACTGCTACTATTATTTTGGTTGGTGTCAAGTGCAAACCCCCGAGTTTACTTGGGATACCTCCCCTGTGCTTTTTGGAGCAGGCACACACATAACGTGGTTGTGCACTGGTTAAGCACTCTGCCAACCAAAAGGTGTCAGACCCCCTACCAGCCCTGTGGTATCGACTCCCCTAAAGCCTATAGCCTAGGAAATCCTATGGGCATTTCTCTCTTGTCACTTTTCATATCTGGTCACTGTGAGTTGTTTTCAACGCAGAGACACCTAACAACCCACACAGTAGAAGGGCAGGGCAGGCTAATAAAAATATCCACCAAGTACAGGTCTTGTAAAGTTTTTACCTTTTGCTTAAGGATCCTATGTGGCACGGCAATTACGTGCTTGGCTGTAAACTGAGGGAATAACAGTGGGAGACCATCAGTGGTGCTGTGGGGGAAAAGACCGGGTGATCTGTTCCTCTAAAACGATGCCCTGAGAGCCCTGTGAGGCAGTCCCACTTTGTGACCCAGGGGCACTCATCAGCCGCAGCAGCAGAAACTACTGCTTGGCTTTATTGATGTTTGGGCACTCACCTGATGGAATTGTTGGTTATAAGGTTTTTGTAGTCCAGTAGAGGCTTGACTATTCCTGGGTGTCTGATGACTTAGAGGAAGGTGAACTTTAATGATCGTTTTTGTGGCGTTCATCTTTGAAAATCGGTGCCCTCTTGATCAGAAATAAGCTGCTCTGCCGCTTTAACTGTAGAAGAGCTCACATAAGAGACACACTGTGTGATCCATGAAATTGGTAATGTAGGGTTTGTCTTCCGCGCACTGGTTATCAGGACCATTCTGGTGTGTGAGAG